GCCCCCAGCCCCTCACTGGGGGATTCTAGGCAGGGGCTCTACCACTGAGCCACGCCCCCAGCCCCTCACTGGGGGATTCTAGGCAGGGGTTCTACCACTAAGCCACGCCCCCAGCCCCTCACTGAGGGATTCTAGGCAGGGGCTCTACCACTGAGCCACTCCCTCAGTCCCTCACTGGGGGATTCTAGGCAGGTGCTCTACCACTGAGCCATGCACCCCGGCCACCACAACCAGGTTTTTACAACACCTCCATGCTCTGTCCTGCTTCCCTACTCTGAGGGTTCCCATGTGCACACAGGTGTATTTGTCTGCATATGCATGACATGCCTCCTCCTAAGCATACAGTGTGAACATGATTTAAAGACTAAACCTCTCAATGTTCCACAGGGAAAAAGAGACAACAGTGCCTCGTTTTAGATTAGAAAGTGGAGGCTAAGACAGGGAAGCCATGTTGAAATCTGTCTGGGGAGGATTCCAGACAGATTCAGCACCCTGAGGACAAGTTACCCAGGGGACTTATCCTTCACCAAGCCTCTATTTCCTTCCGTCAGACCCTCTCACCATCACCAGGGGCAAAATCACAAAAGCTTACTTCCCTACTGGGCCTGGAGCAGAAAGAGGACCACTTACAAGTTGTTAACGTCACTTTCTCCGGCTTCATCCAGCTGCCGGTCGCTCATCTGGAGGTTGCCCGGGAACCTGGGATTCTGTAAGGAATTTGAGGGAAGGAAGATAGAATGAAGCACAGAGGGCGGAGGATGCAGCTCGGAGCGTGGAGTGCTGCTGGAGGTACAGTGGTTCCCTAGCAAGCACAAAGACCTGGGTTCAATGCCCGGTACCTCAGGAAAAAGGAAAAAAAAAAAAGCCCCAGTACAGCCCAAAGAGACCAGGGTGGATACAAGCTGCCCATATTAAGCATATAGCAGGTCCTATGTCAACTACACCCTTTTGAGGAAGACAGGATCTGTCTATAAGGTCTCACCAACACAAACAGACCCTTTCCTGGCTCCCAAGAAAGAACACATACTACCAAATATCCATCATCGGAGCTCAAGGCTCCTCCCTGGGAGCTGAAGGGTCCGCTCTTGCAGCATGAGACCCCTGAACACTCTAAGCATGTTCTCCCAGCATGTTCTCCCAAGGAACGATGAGACCTAGCCTGTGAGAATGCTCCTCCACCAATCATCTGGAATCCCCGGGCAGCTCACTCTCACTTGTCTCGGGTCCCTTCTGATTCCCAGTCAATCTCCTCGGCCTTGGCAGTTTACCAGAGCTGCTCTTGTGAGCTCATGGGAGCCCAGAAGACACAGGCCCATGTGTTCAAGTTGTTTATTTTATTTTTTATTTTTTGTTTTTGTTTTGAGGCAGGCTCCGACGTAGCCCAGGTTGAACTGAAACATACTATGTAGCGAAGGACAACGATGACAATTTTTGTTTGTTTGTTTGTTTGTTTTTGAGACAGGGTTTCTCTGTGTAGCCCTGGCTGTCCTGAACTCACTCTGTAGACCAGGCTGGCCTCGAACTCAGAAATCCGCCTGCCTCTGCCTCCCAAGTGCTGGGATTAAAGGTGTGCACCACCACTGCCTGGCTCTAAACAATTTTTTGAAGTTTATTTTTTATTTATATGTATGAGTGTTTTGCTTGTACGTATGAATGTATACCGGGTATATGCTTGGTGCCCACACAGTGTTGAAAGAGCCATGGATCTCCTAGAACTGCAATGACAGATGACTGCTACAGTGTGGGTGCTGGGAACTGAACCCTATTTCTCCTTTAAAAGTAGCCTGTGCCGGGCGGTGATGGCACACGCCTTTAATCCCAGCACTTGGGAGGCAGAGGCAGGTGGATTTCTGAGTTCGAGGCCAGCCTGGTCTACAGAGTGAGTTCCAGGACAGCTAGGACTATACAGAGAAACCCTGTCTCAAAAAAACAAAAAACAAACAAACAAAAAGTAGCCTGTGCTCTTAATCTCTGAGCTATCTTCCCAGCACTGAGAGAACTGACTCTCATATGATGTCCTCTGACCCTACCACTACCAATTAACAAACAAACAAACAATCCAAACCAACAAGCCACGAGGGATTTTGGTGGCTCAACAGTTAACAGCACCTGCTCCTCTTTCACAAAAGGTAGAACTGTCTACACCTCTTTTTCCAGAGGATCTGCTGCCCTCTTCTGGCCTCCATGGGCACTGCATGCACATGGTGCACATACATATATGCAGACTACACACAAACTATATCTCTATATCTAGATATATAAATATCAATATATCTAGATATAGAGATAGACAGATGATAGATGATAAATAGATAGATGATAGATAGATAGATAGATAGATAGATAGATAGATAGATAGATAGATGTTTGCAATTTTCCACACAGAACAACTCCCACAAAATGTTAGTCGTTTTCCTATTTGTGAAATGAGGAACAGAACAACCCATGAGCATCCATCAAAAGGCTGGTCACATCCTGGGCTCTTTCACACTACTGTTCTACCAGTTGATTTCCCCTCACAGAGTCAGGCCCTAACATCCTCACTCCCTCAGGTCCCAGGCTGTTCCCCAAAGTGATAATAAAGGCCAAGGAGGGGAGGCTGGGCTTGAAGGAGTGGTGGGGCGAGGGAGTGGAGCCGTGGAGGATGGCAGGCAGATGCTCACTTTGGTGTGGTACTCCATCCGCGTTCTCAGCAGCTTGAGGTAGACGCTGCACAGCTGCCCATACCCGTCGCTCAGGTGGCCCTTGGGGGAGAAGAGAGGAAGCTGCGTCAGTACTGAGGCAGGGCTGCCTCTTAAATCTTCTTCTTGGTTGGCTGATTGCTCAGTGGACAAGGGCTTCCATTGCCAGGTACAACAACCTTAGTTTAGTCCCTGGGACCCGCCTGGTGGAAGGAGAGGCCTGTCTACCACAGACAAGGCGTCCTCCGACTTATCACTTGTGTGCCCGTGCCCCACTCACGCCAACACACAGAATGAATGTCATTTTAAAAGATGAGGCTGAAAAATGACCCAGAGGGTGAAACTGTTTTCCACCATGCCTGATAATCTCAGGGTTCCAGACAGAGGAGGAGAAAACTCCGGCAGCCATGCTTGTTGGCATACATGTACCCTCCTCTCCACACACATGCATGTGCACATACATGCACAGACACACACACACACATGCAACCTAAAAAAAAAAAAAATCAAAATATAAAGGGTGTTCATTTCCAGCCAGCACTCTTAATATGGAGGGGATCTTGAGAGCAGTCAATTTCAATTTCCTCCGCTCAGTTGTGTGATAAAAACAAGAGAATTTCACTGCTGGGAAGGAGACCCAGCTGACACTCCCGGGGGAACCTCCCAGAATTCATAAACATCCAGTGGAGCGTTTAATTGAGATCTCTGTGGAGGCGAGCACAGGTTCTCTCTGGAGGAACCTGTCTTCCTTACAGACTTCAAAGAATTGTGTTCCCAGCAGGGAATCAAACAGCACAAAAGGAAAATATGCAGAATAACTAATATTCACCAGAAATGCCAGATGGCCAAGCAGAGCTCCAAGGACGGATAAAGGGATTATAGAAAGCAATGTATGGCACGGGTATCATTAATATAGCCATAAAAAATTTGCAAGGCATAAAGAGGGACGGGAGACATGGCTCAGCAGTCAAGAGCACATGCTGCTCTTGCAGAGGACCTGAGTTCAGTTCCCAGCTCACAACTGCCTGTAACTCCAGCTCCAGTGGATGTGACACCCTCTCTGGCCTATGTCAGTACACACACACACACACACACACACACACACACACAAACAAATAAAAGGAATCCAGGTATGGCCTTGTACATTTGCAATGCCAGTGCTGGAGAAGCTGAGGCAGGAGGCTCTGTAGTAGGAGCCAGCCTGAGTTACAAAGTGAGACCCAATCAATCCTATCGTAAGGCAGATGGGGGAAAAAAGAAGAAAAACGGGGCTGGGGAGAGGCTTGGTTGGCGAAGTGCTTGCCAAGGACCTGAGCTACATGCTCAGGACTTACAGGGAATGGCTACAATCCCAGAGCTGAGGAGGCAGACACAGGAGGATGCCCAGGGCTCACTTGACAAACCAGCTTAACCTAATCGGTGAGCCACAGGTCCGAGGAGCTCTTGTCTTAAAGTTGGAAGGCTTGGCATAGTGTGATGGCCTGCCTTACATCCCAGAACTTGGGAAGCAGAGGTGGGGCGATCTCAGTGAACTTAAGGCCAGTCTGGTCTATATACTGAATTCCAGGACAGTCAGGACTACATAGAAAGACCAAATTTGAGTCCAACCTGATCTACATGGTGAATTCCCAGACAGTCAGTCAGCACTACATAGTGACCCTGTCTTAAAAACCTGAAAAACAGACAAGATCAAAAACCCAACAAGAAGCCGGGCGGTGGTGGCGCACACCTTTAATCCCAGCACTTGGGAGGCAGAGGCAGGCGGATTTCTGACTTTGAGGCCAGCCTGGTCTACAGAGTGAGTTCCAGGACAGCCAGGGCTACAAGAGAAACCCTGTCTCGAAAAACAAAACAAAAACAAAAAAACAAAAACAAAAAAAACAACAAGATGAACAGCTCCCGAGGAAGAGTACCTGTGACTGACAGCTGGCCGTCACATCCAATGCATATACTCAAACCCTTACCACCCTCCCCTCACTGCATACCGATAATCCCAGTGTTTAGGAGGCTAAAGCAGGAAAAGGACAAGTTCTAGGCTAGCCTGGGCTACCTTTGGAGCCCTCCAACAAACAAATAATAAATCTTCAATTTTTTTTTTACCTTTTATTATTATGTATATAGGAGCTTTGTGTGCATGTAGATCTGTGCCCTGCACATGTGCGTGTCTCAGGAGGCCAGAAGTGGTCACTGGATCCTTGGAGTTATAGGTGATAGCGACCACCAAGTGGGTGCTGGGAATTAAACTCGGGGCCTCTGGAAGAGCAGCACTGCAATGTATCGTGATCACAAAGGGCACAGGCACAATGGCTAGTCTCTGTGAGGGAATCCTAACACCATGATACGGAACTCTGTGGCTCTGAGAATCCAGAGCTTTCCTGTACCTTCCAGTACTTCCGGCAAGACAACGCATGTCTAGCTCACTCCTACGACTCATGGAAGAAAGTAATCAAGAGATGGGCTGGGATGTGGTTCAGTGGGCTTGCCTCCCCTCATACATTGAACTTGGCTATGCACACATGCAATCCCAGTACACAGGAAGGGGAGACAGGAAGATCACGAGTTCTAGGTCAACCTTGGCTGCATGGTGAGCCATGCCCTGGCCAGGTTCCAAGAGATGATGATGTCTCAACCAAACCAAGAGACAGGAGGTAACTTGCTACATCCCATGCTCTGTGCCTGGCAGTGTCTGGGGAGAAGTGGGGGTCCCTGGTACATCTGCATACTCACCCACATTCTGCTCATGTCACTTAATTCGTTTTTATATCTCAGAGAGTCTTTCAGTACCTAGAAAAGAAGAAGAGTCATGAGGGGAGACGGGGTGGCCGGAGAGTCGCCTACCTGCGGCTCGGGTGGGGAAGAGACCCACCAGAAGGGATGCTCTCACCTCCTATGGGAAATCTGAGGTGAGGGTGGGCAGCAGGCAGCAGCTTCTTTTTTATAGTGTGTGTGTGTGTGTGTGTGTGTGTGTGAACATGTGCATGCAGGTGCCAGACCACACATGTGGAGATTGGTGGACAATATTTAGAAATCAGTTGTCTCCTTCCATCTCGGTTCCAGAGACTACTGTGCTGGGCTGACAATTGCTTTTCATAGGGGCCAGGAGGGATGAGAGGGGGTGGGGGCACATCTATATTCTATACTGTAATACACTTGCTTCATATAGACATAATCAGAACACACACAATGTTACTGGCTTAGCACAGCCAGGGTTTGCTTTGAGTGCCCACCTCGAGCCCAGGTCCCTCTGGGACAGGTTGACATGGATAAATACTACTTGGCTCAGTATTTCAATAAGTATTTGGGCCCAGAGATCCACCAAACGAGAGAAGATTGCAAGGGATGATAATAAAAGATAATAAAACACTGAGAGTGGGGTTTTTTGATCAGAAATATGGCTGATCACCTGGCCAATGGGGCAAGCCTGAATCCTGAAATGATTGACAAGGCTTTGTCTCTGCCCCTTCATCCCTAACTAATCTGTTGGTTTAAGATTAGCTAGTAGACATGAATGATCACCAGTTGCTAGCTCTCTGAGTAAAACAGAGATCCCATTCCAGGGACTGGAGAGATGGCTCTGCAGTCAAGGGTGTTTTGCAGCTCTGGCAGAGAACCTGAGTTTCTTTCCCGGGAGCTCGAAACATCCTGTAATTCCGGTCCCAGGGGATCTGACGCCCGCTTTTGGCCTCGTCAGGCAACTGGACACATGTGGCATACACATACACGCACATATAAATAAAAACATATCTTTAAAGCTTTGATTTCCGTCTCTGCTCCCGGGCATCTGTACCGGGGAGCAGGAGCAGAACTCAGGTGTCACAATCCCCACGTGCCATTGGCCTCCCCTGACGCCCCTGAGACTCACGTTCGGATGTCCGTCTCGAAGAAGTTTGTGGAACACATGGCAGAACTTCCAGCACAGCATGGCGTTGCTGGAGAGAGGAAGTCGGTTGACCACAGACCAAAAGGTCTGCGCCCCTTTCTCATGGTGGGTGCCCAGAATACACGGTGGGAGGAGTCAAGGAAGACAAGCGCTTGGTGGGTGGAGCTAGGTAAGGGGGAGGCGGGGCACTGCTTACAGCTAAGACCCCACAGTTCTACGTGTTTGCCTGGCAACTTGGAGGCTGAGAGTATAAATACCTCGTTCCCTATTTTATAACAGTTTCCCCTGAAAAGAAATTCTTTCTTTTTAATTTAATTAAAAATTTTAATTTTAAATTTACTTATGTATTATGATGATGATGTGTATGCGTGTGTGTGCGTGTGTGCCTGTGTGTGTGTGTGGGTGTGTCTATGTGCGTGTGTGTATACAGCACATGTGCATGTATACGTGTGGGCACTCATATGCCTGGGTACGTGTGTGGAAGTCAGAGGGCAATTTGTTGGCAGTCAGTTCCATGTGGGCTCTCCAGGATGAATTCAGGTCGTCGGGCGTGAAGGCTAGCTCCTTTACATATACGGAGCCATCTTACTGGCCCATCACCTGTCTCTGAGGCAGGGTCAACATTTAAGTAGCCCAAGTTATCCTAGAACTTAGAACTTCTAATCCTTTTATTTGATCTTGACCTCCAGACTTCTGGGATGACAGGTATGCAGGCCCACACCTTGCTTATACAATGCTTGGACTGGACCCGAGGGCTCTGTGCCTGAGGCAAGCAGTCTACCATTTGGGCCACATCCCTAGCCCCTTGCCGGACTTTGGTATTAATGAAATAGTCTCACTCTGTAACCCAGGATGGCCTCCAACTCATGGGAATCACCCTGCATCCTCCTGGTGGCTGAGATTAAAGGCATATGTCACCTGTAATCTAAACATGTGGCCCTGGACCAGGACTGGTCTTGGCTTATTTATTGTCTCTGGCCCAGCCAGATGTAGGATGGGATTCATTCTTGGGACCAATGCCAACATTTTAACATGTGTTTCCTCTTTCACATTTTTTTTTTTTTGGAGACAAGGTTTCTCTGTGTGTCCTGCAACTCACTTTGTAGACCAGGCTGGCCTCGAACTCACAGAGATCCTCCTGCTTCTGTCTCCTGAGTGTGGGATTAAAGCCATGTGCCCACCACACCTAGATCCTCTTTGATTTTTGTTTTGCTTATGATCACTGTTCGTGTGTGTGTGTGTGTGTGTGTGTGCCATGCCTGTGTGAGTGTCAGGGAGCTACAGCACACGTATGGGTGCCGGAGAACAACCTCGAGGGGTTTTCTGGCACTGTGGGTTTTACCAACCAGACTCAGGGTGTCAGGCTTGACTAGCGAGGTGCTGCCTTTGCCTGCTGATCCAGGCAGCTCAGGAGGCTTTCCTATACATTATTAAAGTGAGGTTAGAAGCTGGGCATGGTGACACACACCTATAAACCTCAGTGAGATCTTGAGGCAGGAGAATCCCAATGTTGAGGCCAACCTGGCAGACACAATGAAGCCCTGTCTCAAAAGCACCATTGAAACCCATCAATAAAGAAGAAGAGACGGCTCAGTGGTTAAAGGTCAAGGACTCTGATTCAGTTCCCAGCACATCACTGTCCCTAACTCCAGTTCCAGAGGATCTGATGCCCTCTTCTGGCCACCATGTGCACTGCAAACATGCATAGAGAGGCATGCAGGCAAAACACCCATACGCATAATAAGTAAGATAAAATAAACAAGTAAATAAAAAATGTAAGCGTAGCGAGGCAGTGGTGGCGCACGCCTTTAATCCCAGCACTTGGGAGGCAGAGGCAGGCGGATTTTTGAGTTCGAGGCCAGCCTGGTCTACAGAGTAGACCAGCCCAGTAGGGACAGCCCAGGCTACACAGAAACTCTGTCTCAAAAACAAAAATAAATAAATAAAGTAAGTGTAGCTCAGTTGATGAAGAACTTGCCTCATACACGTGAAGACCCGGGTTTCATCCCAACAGTGCATAAAAACTGATCGATGTGGTACACGCCTGTAATCCCAGCATTCCAGAAGTCAGGAGTTCAAGGTTACCCTCAGCTACACAGTGAATCTGAGGCCAGTCTGGGCTATATGAGACCCTGTATCAAAATAAATGTAACTAACTAAATAAATTGAAAAGGCCTGAGCTGGGAGCTGGAGAGATGGCTCAGTGGTTAAGAGCGCTGGCTGCTCTTCCAGAGGTCCTGAGTTCAATTCCCAGCAACCACATGGTGGCTCACAGCCATCTGTAATGGGATCTGATGCCCTCTTCTGGCATGCAGGTGTACATGCAGATAAAATATTTATATACATAAAATACATAAATAAATCTTACAAAAGAAAAGATGGCTTGCTGGCCTCCTAGGACCCTTGGACACTGCCAGGAGGGGGTGTCTGAGAGTAGAGCTCTCTGAGTGTGTAGCTATACCAGAAGTGGCTTCCATCCGCAGGCTCCTGTCCCTGGCAAGGGCTACTCTTCCTGTTGCTGAGCAGGAAGCCTCCTCCTGACCTCAGTTCCCACCATTTGACCCCCTTCCAGGGTCGGCCTCCCGAGGATCCAGGCCAAAAGGATATTCCGGGCATGTTTTTCCTTCACGGCCACTTCCTGCGTATTAATGGCCTTATTGACGCTGACTGTCTGCAAAAACAAGATGGGGGAGGGGAAGAGGATGAAATAAACAAGCCTCTGAGAGTTACTGAGACCCTCCCCCCTTCCTCCTCCCCAACACCCCACTCCTCCAATGACCCTTGGTATTGGAGCCAAGAGACCATCCAGGGCCCTCTAGATCCTCGAGTATGCAGCTTGGGGGAAGGGGGCGCAGAGGTGGGCAGCACTCCCAGACCAGCTGTCCCAAGCTGTCCCAAGGGAGCAGGCTCTGCTGCCTGGCATTGGCTGTGCCCAGCTGCTGTACCCGCCTGCTACTCGCTGGCTTGGCACAACAGCGTGGTAATTAAGGGGCCACACAAAGGAAAGGCTTCTTCACCCCGGGGGAAACATTATTCCTCAGAATACAAGAGGAAGAGAGGCTGATGTCAGGGAGCCACTGCGGCCTGAGCCCAGCCAGCCACCCCTCTGCCACTTCTAAACCCTTCCCACCAGGGGCTGGCAAGATGGATCAACAAGTAAAGATGCTAGCCCAGCAAACCTGACAACTGGAGTCCCCTTGCCAGGACCCCTATGAAGATGGAATGAGACAGCCCAATCCACCAAGATGTCCCCTGATCTTCATGGTAAGAACCTTCCCCCAAATAATAACCAAATTTTCCACAGGGTTTCTCTGATTCCCCATTCACTCTTGGCCATCTTCCAACTTGATGGTTAAATCCCTTTTTCCTTCCTTAATTACCCGGAAAATCTTGAAACTATTCCTTTCCTGTTGTTTTCAAAAGTCACGACTTTCCTGTTAATTTTAATAAAGACACGTGAATAACGTACACAAATGCTAATCATGTCACCTAGACTATTTTGCTGTTGTTAAAAAATTTTAAGAGATTTATTATCTTTTTAAACTTTTATGTATGCATGGGTGATTATGGGTATGTGCACTTGAGTGCCAGAGGAAGCCAGGGGTGTTGGAGCTAGGGTTGTGAGCCGCCTGATATGGGCGCTGGTAACCGAACTCAGGTCTCTGCAAGAACACTATGTGCTCTTAACTGCTGAGCTACCTCCCAAGACTCTGTTGTTTATTTTCTTCTAAAAAGTTATTATTATTACTATTATTACATTTACTTATTTTGTTCATCATGGAGGTGGACTGTAACCTCTTGTTTTACTTTTAACGGATCTGCCTGCCTCTGCCTTCCAAGTGCAGGGATTAAAGGAATCCACCACTACCACCAGGTTAGATTTTTGTGGCAAAGTCTCACCAATCAACTTTCTATCCCAGATTGATATAAGGCGCCCCCCCTCCCCCCCTCACACTCCCCTCTCAGCCTCCTGGAGCAGATGGGGTCACAGGTATGTACCACCAGGTCTAGCTCTACATAGTCATAGTAACTGATGTTTTTTTTCTAAGGGGTAGATCTCCAGGAGCAAGAGTGCGTAGACTGAAATGATTTGTTCGGAGCTGAAGAGATGGCTCAGTGGTTAAGAGCACCGTCTGTTCTTATAGTGGACCCAGGTTCAAATCCCAGCATCCACATAGTGTCTCACAACCTTCTGTAAGTCTAGTTCCAAGGGATCTGATGGCCTTCTCTGTCTCTGCGGGTACCAAGCACATATACAGTGCACAGATATACACGAAGACAAAACATCCATACGCATAAAAATCTTTTTTTACTAAATTATATTTGCTTAGACCTTTATAGAAGCACTGAAACATATATAAATACATCCCGGACTGGCCTGCTGCAAACTTGGTATGTAGCCAAGACTGACCCTGAACTTCTGGTCCTCCTGCCTCTATCTCCTGATTGTCCCCCATTACTGATTTATAATGGTGCTGGGACCCCAGTCTTCATGCATACCAGGCAAGTGCTCTACTAACTGAGCGACATTCAAGCACCCTGACACTTTACTTTCAAAAGTGGATGGTGCCTTATCTGTAATCCTAATACTTTGGAAGTCAAGGCAGGAGGATGCCTTGATCTTCTTCAGAGCCATCCTCAGCTCCCTAGACCAGCCTGGGCTACACAGGACCTTGCCTCAAAAGGAATAAACTAAAAACCTGTGGTGGGTGGGCTTTTCTTCTTGCTGGTGCCACCTGTAGATCTTGTACCCAGTTATCACTAACCACTGACGCCTCATTCCCCAAAGCAAATCAACGCCAGACTCTAGATCAGGTCACCTGTCAATCACTTCTCTGGTTGACTGTGAGAAAGACTGACTGGTTAAAGCTAAAAGAGACCCCCACTGTGTGGGAGAGGATCACCGATATTAGGACAGTGTGACTAGTGCTGGGGACTCACAGAAGGCTCTCGAGCAAGGCAGGGGCGTGCTGCCAATGAGATGTTTTCTGGCCTAGCACAGGGTTTGGGGAAGAAGCCATGTTTTAGTGATATCTCTCAGTCCTGAGACAAAGGGTAGATTATAGCCCACGGTCTGAGGGAACAGTCCATCATGGCGGGGAAGGCAGGGGAGCAGCAGCGTGAGGTGGCTGGTCACAATCTAGTCAGAAAGCAGAGAGAGATGGATGCGGCCCGTATTTAGAGTGGGTTTTCCTGTCTACTTTAACTCGATTCAGAAATTCCCTCATAGACAAGGGCTTGTCTCAGGTGATCCTGAGCCCTGCCACGCTGACAACAGATATTAACTACTGGGCTAGCAAGATGGCTCAGTGGGTTAAAAGTGCACGGTAGGAGAGAGATTACTCTGAAAACTGGATTACTGTTTCTGAAAAATTGATTACTCTGTTTACACAGAGTAAACAAATGTAAAATGAAAATACTGTCATAAGTCCCTTGGGGGACACGTAAGGCCTCCTCAGACCAAACTGTTACCCCATATCCACTCCTGTAGCTGGGATCGCACATGGGACGGGGCGTGGAGGAGTGGGGGAGTTGGGTTATGCTGGCAAGAGCTCCTTCAGTGTTGCTAGCGTACCTGCTTTCGTCCTGGCAATAGTCACCAGTGTGGAGATACCTATGAGTCAGAGACCTGCCCATGGCTCCTGGCTACAGATCAGCTTCTGAAGCCAACGTGGCCTTTCAGGACACTGAGGTACAAGGCAGGTCTGAGCGTCAACATTCTCGAGTTTTGGGTTTTGCTGAGACAGAGTCTGATTTATCCCAGGCTGGCCTTAAAATCACTACGTAGCAGAGGACGACCGTGAACTTCTGATCTTTCTGCCTCCACCTTCTGACGGCTGGGATTACGGGTGTGCAGCACCACGCCCTGTTTATGTGGTGCTAAGGACTGAACCCACAGCCCTCAAGCATACTAGGCTAGCAGTCCACCAACTGGGCTTATCTCGACTCTCCTCCCCTCCCCACCCTTCTGAGACAGGATCTCACCAGTTCACGGTGGTCTGGAACTCACAATTCTCCAGCTCCAGTCTTCTCAGTGCTAGGAATAACAGGCATGTGCTCCCATTTGTGGCTCATACTGGGCTTTTAAAAGCAAGCCGTGATGTGAGCTTGGAGGTGCTGGGCTGTAATCCCAGCCGCTGGGAGAAGTTGAAGCAGGAAGATGGTTCAGGGCCCACCTGGACTACAGAGTGAGTTCAAGGCCTCGCCAGGCAAGGCTAATGCATTGTCATAAAAGAAGGGGAGATGGGGACAGATCTGGGTCACCCAGAGCCCTCAGGATACCAGTCACCTTTCTGTGTCTGGGGCAGATATTCCACTGAGACCACTTTGCCCAGATGACATCCTCATATCCCATTCGACATCACAGGCTCCTGTATCCATCCATATTGCAGACACTACATTCTGCGGCTGGTGAAGACGAATCAGCAGGAAAAGGTGCTCGTTGCTGAGCCTGGCAACCTGAGTCCGATCCCCAGAACCCACACAGTAGACGTCTGCATATGGTCCTGAGTTCCACATGCACGCCTAGGCATGTGCAGGCTCCACATCGGCATAAACCAGTAACTGTCACTTTAAAAGACCTAAAGATGGCCGGGCGGTGGTGGCGCACGCCTTTAATCCCAGCACTTGGGAGGCAGAGGCAGGCGGATTTCTGAGTTCGAGGCCAGCCTGGTCTACAGAGTGAGTTCCAGGACAGCCAGAACTACACGGAGAAACCCTGTCTCGAAAAACAAAACAAAACAAAAACAAACAAAAAAAAAAAGACCTAAAGATGGCATTTTACCACATTTCGGTATGGTAAATGCCCCTCCCAGTTCTGGTTTAGAAGTACGTCTTAGGTAGCTCAGGCTGTACTAGGATATACTATGCCACCCAGGCTCGCCTCCTACATCAGCCCCCCAAGGCCAGGGGTAGAAGTATACACCACCACACTCAGGTGCTGTATATACTTAGCAATTACCTTTCTCCGATAAAGACTAAAATCCAAGCCAGGTGGTGGTGGGCACATGACTTTAATGGATCTTTATGTTCAAGGCCAGCCTGGTCTACAGAGCAAGTTCCAGGACAGCCAGGGCTACACAGAGAAATCTTGTCTCAAAAAACTGAAGAAGAAAAAGAAGAGGAGGAGGAGGAAGAGGAGGAGGAGGAAGAAGAAGAGGAAGAAGAGGAGGAGGAGGAGGAGGAAGAAGAAGATCATCCAAGGGCTTGAGGAAGACATCTCACTCAGTAAAGTTCCTGCCATACAAGCATGAACCCCAAGTTCAATCCAGGGAACCCACATAAAATCCAGGTGTGAGGCACATCTTATAACTCTACAATTCCATCTAGGGAGCGCAACACAGAGGCAGAGACAGGCGGATCCCTACAGCTCACGGGGCAGGTGAGCTCGGGGCTCAGGGAAAAGACCCTGTCTGGAAATAAAGCAAGCTGGAGGACAAGCAAGGAAGACGCTTGAGGCCGACTTCTGGTTTCCACATGCACACAGACACGTCTGTACATCATATGGCCACACACACACACACACACACACATGTGCACACATCAACAAGAACATATAACACATATCCAGAATGTAAGCTCTGGTGTGTCCTTCCATATGGCCCTACACTCTCTAAGGCAGGACAGCACGGAGTCCCCAGGCCTCCATGCTGCCTTCTCCCGTACACCACT